TGCAAATCTAGGCACTGATAATATTTTTTGAAATAACTATATTTTCAATAATAACACATACTTTTAACAAGGAGAAACAGGACACAGACCATCTTCAGGAAGAACGCAGCTTCGCCCCCGTTTGCTGTCCTCGTGCTGCCTTTACCGGGTCCCCACACCCTCCTCTGATTCTCACTAGTGCTATTTCTGTGTTCAGACCCACAAACTTGAGTTGGATCAATAAACATTTCATTCCCTGTGATAAGTCTATGGTGCCTGGTGTCGGATCTGCTCATCAGACAGAGAATGTCCTGGCTGAGCCTGGGACACAGCAATGCTCCGTCACTCGGGTGACACGATCGGGCTGGGCAGCTTTGCCAAAAGAAGGGCGAGGTGGCCTCGGCCTGGCCCCCCCAGTCACCCAGTCTGCGCAGGTGCGGCTCGCGCTGGCCACCACGAGAGGGTGCAGCGAGGTCAGGGCCGGGAAACTAGGGCGGAGCAGGAGAGCCAGTCCTCCTGTGGGGACACGCGGTGCCTCCACTGAGCCCTGAGAAGTGGGGGACCCCGGGCCACGCCTGTGCGGTGCCCATCAGGTGCTTTGCGCCTGGGACTGAATTCAGCCTGACCCGGGAGGCCAGCACTGGGTGGCCACTGCGAGGGAGGTGGCCTTCTGAGATGACTCACTAGCCAATTGTGTCAAAACCCCAGAAGCTCGTGACAAGTCTGCACCTTTCCCCAAAGCCCAGCTACGCCCACAGGTAGAGAGGGTGCAATGGCATTTCCAGGGGACTCAGCATGCACGTGTGTCCCCCTGCACTGTGCTGGGGCGATTCAGCTTTATCGGGGTGACTACTGGATCCTTCGTAAAGAGGAGGAGCCCGAGAAGCGGCGTGTTGGGGTCCCAGCACCCCGGCGCCCTGCTAGAATAACGCTGGGATGGCCGTGAGGCCAGCATGAGGACTCGGCGCCCACAGCCCTGGCGCAAGGCCCCCCTTGGCCTCAGGTCCTCCAGCACCACGCGGAGGGGGGCTCTCCTGCTCTGCCCAGCACAGTCAGCTCTCCAGGTGATGGACACACGCCCAGGTTAGAAACACGAATGTAAAACAGCGCTTCTCAAACCTGTGTGGATCAGAGCGGCATTTAAAATCCTGACGCTCAGCCTCACCCCTCTCCTGTGATGACAGAACCTGCGTTTATAAAACTCTCAGAGTTTCCAACACGCAGCCACGCTGGGAGCCACGGCAGGTCACAAGCCCAGAGTCACGCTGGAGGTACCCATGTGGGGGCAGCTTGAGATAAGTCTGATGCCCGCCCGTCCGCCCGCGGCGGAGGTCGCATGGGCACTGTCAGCACTGCATCTGTGACGCTATGTGCGGCCGGGGACAAACTCCTGCTCTGGAAAGCAGATGGGGACCGGGGTCCTCCCAGAACATGGCTGCCGCTTCTATCTGGGTCACTGGAAGGTAAAGTGCCCTTAGCTATTTATTTATCCTTCTACGATCAGATAAAACAAAATCCTGCGTCACATTTGTACCCGGTGGGCTCTGGAAACTCCCTGCATTCCTAGGCGTGAAAGCAAACAATCGCCCTGCAGTCAGGCCTCCTGACTTCAGCACATTCAGATCAACGCGGTTTCTTCTAAAGAGACAGTGGGGGGGGGCGGAGGGGGGGGGCGGCAGGCAGCCCCCTCCTCAGCCTGTGTCCCCAAAGGAGTTCAGAGCGTTTCTGTCCCCCAGACGACTGCATCACCAGTCCCTCCCCCTGCAGCCTGAGCTACTGAAGAACTGGGTGACTTTTGTGAGAAATCCTTAGCCTGAGTGCTGACGAAGTTCAGGACCTGAGCGCACAGACTCCAGCAGCAGGCCCCTGCGTCTCCCGCTCTGTCCTCCCCAAACACCTAGGAAAGGAACCCTGGCTTTTGGAGCAAAATGGAAAATTATTTCCCCTGGGAAACGTTGATGGGCGTGGCTAGGCGGTGGGGAAGGACATCTGAAAGCCTAGGGAGTATGTCCTTCCAAAGGAGAAATTTTAGCAATACTCCCGTTTCTGCTCAAAGTCACTGTAATTTAAAGCGCAGATGTGAAAAGCCACGTGGCAGCCAACGCAGGGCCACTCCTGCTGCCACACGTGCCTTCCCCTGGGCACCACCAGCAGGCTGCTGCCCGGCTGCGCGCCTTTCGCTCACTTGAACCTGCTTTCTTGTTTTACTAGCACCCCACCCCCGTCACTCACTTACTGGCCTTCTCTCCAAACATGCCATCTTTTAGCAACTGAAGCATTTACACAACACAACACAGGACAGTCCCCAGGGCTGCCCACCTCAGCGCCAGGGCCACCTCCAGGGGACGGTTGGACATGTCCTAGACCCGGAGCCGACGGAGAGGACCCCCGCCACCTACCCTCGGATTAGACAAATTAGCTCTCGCGGACGGGAGGCAGCACGCGGGCCTCGGGGAGCTCGTCCGTGCAGAGCAGCTGTGTCCCTCTGAGGCACAGCTTCTGGAAACAAGACTCCACGCCAGAGGCTGGGGTCCCCAGAGCAGACTTGGAGACTTCTGAGGGCGGCCCCTCGTGAGTTCACAGAGTGCCGTGTGGCCCAGCAGTTCCTCTTCTGGGGTTGCGTTCAAACCAATGCTTGTACTTTGATGCTCACGGCAGCCCAAGGTGCACACAGGCCACAAGTCCACCCCCAGGGGACGGGCCAGCACAGTGGGGCCACCCCCACCAGGGAACACAGATCAGCCCTAAGCAGGGATGGCGCTCCGACACATGCGACCCCTCGATGAGCCTGGCACACGGTGCTCAGTGCAAGACGCCCGACACAGAGGTCCTGTGACCTGTGCGTGAGAGGTGCCAGCACAGGCACATCCAGGGACAGGACGCTGACGGGACTGCTGATGGGGCGGGGTGTCCTCTTGGAGCGATGAAGAAGTGGGACTGGACAGCGCTGATGGCTGCACAGCACTGCAAAGCGACTTCACGCCACCGGGTGGCACACTTTACAACAGCGAAAGTGGGCAATTCTGTGTTCCGTGCCTGCTGTTCCTCCTGCCCAGGCTTGGAGGGCCTGCCGCTCCCGATGCCATACCCGCTCCCGATGCCATACCCGGAGGCCACCCAGTTGTGACAGGCAATTCACAGGCGACTACACTTGGGGCTTCGGAAACCACCGCCATCGCCAGTGCCAAATGCAGGGGCTCCTCCCCATCCCAGCTCGGGTGGCACCGTCTGGGTGCAGGGGCCACGGCTACTCCCTCCCTCCATGCCTCTGCAGGAGACCACCGTGTGTGCCCGCTCAACGGCCGCCATCCTGGCAGTGAGGTGGCCTGTTTTGCGGCCCTTCCCACGGGGACACGACGTGCAGCAAGTCCCGTTCTTCCTCACGCTAACACGCCCTCGCCTTCGCACGCTGGCTCACTTTGGCCGGGAGTTGTATGACTTACACTCAGATCATTCAAAGCCACAGGTTCCCACTATCAGGGATGAGAGGCCAGAGCTTTCAGCGCCCTGAATGATTTCCGGGTAATGAGGAGTGTTGCTGTCCGTGCCTGCGCACGAACACCCAGTGCCCTGCCAGGAGATGGCGGGGCCTGCCGGGACCCCAGTTGTGGGCTGGGGGATGAATAAAATATTTGGACAACATGAAGCAAAGAGCCCTCAGGTATGAGATAAACGGGCTGGTGTCCTGCCATCAGTGGGACCACAAATGTCACAGATGAGCCATTTCTTTATCACTGGGGTATCGTCGGCCAAATCTCCCCCCACTTAAACGATGTGATCCAAGAAACCCATCTACACGCAGGGCTTCTGAGCAGCTGGGAGACCTGGGTGAGGGGGTGTCATAGGCCACAGCACTGCCCAGAGTGGCTGTGCCCCAAGCAGTGTAGTGTCAGACCTGAGGCTCTGAGCACCTGCAGGGAGCCAAACACCCCCACATCGCCCCCTTTTACAAAATCATCCAAAGCTTTGAGACCCCTACCTCTGGACAGCCTCCCTTTTATCTTGTGGGTGGGGACTGTCCCTTTATAAACCTCACTATGGTCCCTGGCCAGTTTAGCAGAGCCCCAGGGGTCCCAGGACAGTCACTTGTATTCCCACCTATACCACGGCCCCCTGTATTTATAAACATTACCATGTGCCAGGAAACAAAATGAACAAGTCGCTAGGCTGTCCCCGAGGGGTTTTCTGGCTGGTGGCAGAGCCTGAGCTCAGTGGGATGGAGCACAGCCATGAAAAGTACAGTCAGATGGAAAGAAACTGTCCACATGTCACGGTAGGCGTGAGCGTCAGAAGCGATGTAGACAAGCTCCAACGTAGCGCCTGGAGCAGCCCAGGCACTCACAGTGGCAGTGTTTACTATCATCACAGTACCACCACCACCACCATCGTCACCACCGTCACCACCACCACCATCACCACCATCACCACATCATCATGACCATCACCACCATCACCACATCATCACCACATCATCACCACCATTGTCACCACCATCACCACCACCATCATCACCACATCATCACCACCACCATCATCACCATCACCACCATCACCACCATCATCATCATCATGACCACCACTCACTAAGGATTCAGTTCCATCAAATGAAAAACGTATTAGCCTAAAGAGGCCTCGGGGTGGTAAATCGAGCCTTTACCCCGTGTACACTCAATGCCTCCAACAGCCTCCAAATCTCAAAGGAGATTTTTAATCCCGGAGAAAAACTTCGGATTGCTACTTTTCCAAGTAACCTATCTGAAGTAGGTTTGGTGAGGTGAATCACGTGCTAAGGAAAGGATGCCGTGAGCTTTGTTCCCACTGAGACTTTGTGAAGCCCTAGTTTCCTGAAGGATTCTGACTACGTTCACACACCCAAGTCCTCAGATCTGGACCAGCGCTGCAGAGCTGCCGCCACTGGGCTGGGCCGGGCCGGGCCGCCGGGTGGAGGCTCACAGTCCTCTCCAGGGAGCCTTAGCTTCTCCCAGCTGCCAGCTCAGGAAACACAGGGTCCCAGGGACCCAGGAAGCTGGCAGGTCACACGGCTCACCGTGACCCAGGTCCAGGACAGGTGTGTGGACCTGCATATCCTGAACCATCAGCTGGGCACTGTGACGGGGCTTCTTTTAACAGATGGAGTGAACAGAAATTCAGAGACTACGTCCTTTACCCCCCTAAGTCACACGGCCAGCCACCTCAGCCACCGCACGGCCAGCCACCTCAGCCATCGCACGGCGCAGTAGCACTGACACCACAAAGCTCACATTCCCGGCCGTCCCGACCTGAGTGGGACTGAAACCCACCTCATCTGACTGGCGGGGCCGACTCCTGCTCTACTGCCTATGACTGTGTGACCTTGGGCGGGCCACTTCGCTTCCTGACACCTCCAGAAACTCAGCTGTAAGACGGGGCTCTGTCTGCAGCCGCGGGGCCTTGAGGAGATAAAAGGGGGCCCGCCATGAACGGCACCCCTTCTTTCAGTGCTCCTGGCTCACTGACAGGCGGCACTCCGGGCAGGCTCAGGAATGCGGACGGAGTGGCAGTGCCCTCCCCGCAATACCCTCCAGTCTTGACACTTGGAGGCAGGGCCTGGGAGCCAGCTGATGCCCCAGGCACAGACCCGCACCGCCGACACCGGAGGCCGTCACCACTCTCTGCCCTGCCGTGGCCTCTGGTCCTGGTCCCCGCCTGCGAGGGCCACGGGGGCTCTGAAACACAGCCCTCCGTCTCCGTCTCCGCAGACCTCAGCGGCCATGGATGCTGCCTGGCCCCATCTCCTGTGTGGAACCTTCTAGATACACATCCTCGCTGCGGCCTCACACACCGTCCCCCTGCCCCACAGGCCCCCCTCTGCTTACTGGGCGCCCCCTCAAGCTGAGCCAGCCAGCTCTCCAGGGCCCACAGCCTTACGCCTCCCAACACGGAAAGCACGTCACAGACTCCCTCCCAACGTGTGGCCCCACCTCCAGAAAGCCCTGCACCTGCAGGTCCCTGCCCGTCCACTATAACCATCCCCCAGCCTTTCCCAGCCGAGCAGCTGAGCAAGAAGGCTCAGCCATGGTCCCTGCTCTGCCACATCCCAGGGGCAAGGGCCTGTGCAATCCTGGCCCCCGAGGCGGCACGGCCCCACCGCTGCCGGGGTGCAAAGAGGGCCCCTCTAACCCCGGGCCTGCGTCCCCGCTGTGCTGGGCGCTGGATGTGACCGCACCGCTTAGCGCCGACTGTCCCGCCCCTGCCTCTCCAGGCGTTCCTCCCCACGCCCCCCAACACTGCTGGGCACAGCCTCCCTCCCTGCACGGCCAGCCCAGGGACTTCTGACGCACCAGAACTGCGCAGTGACCTCCAGGTGCCCACGAGGCTGTGCCCAGGGGCCCAGCCATCCACCCCCTCCTGCAGGCCAGGGAAGAGCCCGTGCTCTGCTCTGGTCCTGACGCAGGTGAGCCTGCACCTGCAACGCCAGCTCACCTTGCCGTGGGGGCGCCCTGCCGGGGTCCTCTCCTCTGTCCTGTAGGCGGCCGCTCGCCCGGAGCCCACCTCCCACGCTGTCCGGGGCCGCGGGGCCGCTGGCCTGGCTGCCCAGCGTGCTCAGGTGGGTGGGGAGGGGCTCGAAGGTGGGGTCCAGCTCCAGGATCAGCCTGTTGAGCTGCTCGATGGACTGGTCGATGTCCAGGGTGGGCGAGCCGGGGGAGGGGTCTGCGCTGGGCTCCGGGCCCGTTCCGTTCACCACTCTGACATCGGGAAACCTGGCTTTGAAGGCTTTGCCGGGAGGCGGCCGTTGTGTGTCGCTGGGATGTGGCCCGGGGCCTATGCCCCTCTGGGCGGCCACCCTGCTGCTGGCCCCTCGGGTGGGGGTGACCGGGGTCCTGGGCGGGGCCTGCGCCAGCCGGGGACTGTCTCCCGGGCTGCGGCCCACGAGCCGGGCCTCCCCGTCGGCGGCGAAGCTGTACTGGTGGGCAGCCACCATCTGCTGCTGGCGCACCCACGTCTGCGTGGAGTAGCTGCTCTGCTCGAAGGCCGGCGTCTGGGCGGACACGCAGGGCGCCCCCAGCACGGGCGGCGGCGGCTTGGGCTCGCGGGTCCCGAAAGCCCGCTCCCGCCCGAACAGCGGCTCCACCCCCAGGCCCAGGTCGGGGGAGAGGGCGCCGTGCCGGTCCTCGCCGGCGCTGCTCCCAAAGCCGTCGGACAGCAGGGAGTTGTGACTGCTCTGGTGGCAGGCGAAGGGGCCCAGCGGGGCCGACGGGTGGCCCTCCGACGAGGACAGGGTCCCGATGCTGTCCACGCTGTGCAGGTCGTGGCTGGGCACCTCGTCGTCCAGGATGTCCGTCTCCCGGTCCTTGGGCGTGGCGTCCCCGTTCACGTGGACCTGGGCTGGCACGACGTGGCGTGTCCCACTGAACTTGCTGCGAACATCAGTCATATCCTTGAGGGGGCTTCCGGAATCTTCTAGGCCAAAGCCACTGAGCAGCTGGTCCAACTCGGCCTTCTCCTGGGGGCTCAGGCCCCTCTTGGGTCCCACGGCCAGGTGCTCCTCAGTCCTGTCTGTCCTCACCGAGGCAGTGGAGTGGCCTGAGTCGCTGCTGACGGACAGGGTATGGTCGCCGTGGTCCGGGCTCACGGGGGCGGGGATGCTGGGGGTGCCCCCTGGGATGCCGGGATCCGAGGTGCTTTTCTTCCGGACCTTGGCGTAAAGACTGCCGTCCACGGGGCCCTGCGTGTGTAGCACTGGAGGAACAAAACGGAGAGGGGCTGTCAGTCAGGGGTGACGGGGCTTCAGGCGCCGAATGGTGTGTGCGTCTGTGAACAATACATGAGCTCGTAACACACAAGTGACAGGAATCGGGGACAAAGCTTCTCCAGGACACCCAGGCTCCACGTACGGGAGGCCACGGAGAGCAGTGTGAGCACCAGCACCTGGCACCTGCATGTTGCTTCCTTTTCATGCAGAGGTGTCACCTGCAGGGTCACCTGGAGAGCCTTCCGGGCTCTGGGGCTCCCCACACGAGCCACTTGCCCGGGGGGCTCCCTGTTAGCTTCTCCATCAGTGTGAAGGTTGAGCTCAGCTCAGCTCTAAAGTGCCCAGGAATCAAGGATGCAGGAGACAAGGTGGGCTTCCTGCACCGTCAGCACGCGGAGCCTCTGCAGAGCACGGGTATCAGGTATCACCAGGCAGGACGCTGGGTTGCAAGCCTGCCGTCCTCTCTACACTCTGACATCTGCTGAAACCGAAATGCGTGGCTCACTGGACACAGGCAGTGCAAGAACTGGCCTCAGGCCTCCTACCAGCACAGCGTCTGGGCCACGCGGCGGCCCCACACGTGTGGGGGGCTCTGGTCTCCATGCCCCGGGACGGCCACACGCTGGGCCGTGCAGAACGCCTGTGGCGTGGGCCTCCCGGAGCCTCTTTTCCTTGGCACCTCTGTTCAGACCCTGCAGGCTCACCCAACGTCCCCCCACGAGGACACAGGCTCTGAGAGGGCAAGGGCCTTCGCTGCCTGTGGTCCCCAGCATCAGGGAGCAGCCCCTGGCACGAGTGACACTCAGTAGCTGAGACACAGTGTTCTAGCTTGATCTCACACAGCGAAACCTGGGGAGCTGTCAGCAGCCTTACACAGACAAAAGCCAATCACCAAAACAAACACAAACGACCACGGCCTGAAGGCAGAACTGCCTGCAGCCCTCGGCCGCCTGCAGCCCAGGGGCCCCCATGTCCCCGGCAGGCAGCGGGGCCTCCCATGAGAGCCAGGCTGGTCCTCCAAGGCCACCGGACAAAACCGGAGATGTGAAGTCACCAGATCTAAACGTCCAAAATGTCAAAGAAAATTGTTTAAGCCTGAAGGTGAGCCCAAGGTGCCCGTGGGGCAGCCAGAGGCACCGAAGCCCAGGGGACGTCTGCACACGCTGTCCAGCCACAGGGCGTCGCTGGGACGCGGAGTGGGGAAACGAGGCCGAGGCCTGGCAGCAGCGGGGGCGAACGATGGCACTGGTCTCCTCCATCCTGCTGCCACCTGCCAGGGCGACGTCGCTCGCTCACGCACACAGCAGCAGGGGCAGCCAGGTAGCGGCCACCTCGCCTGGAAGAGCTCTTCCCACCTCTAAGTGGCACAGGAAGGGCGGCCTCATCTATGCCGGGCTGAGCTTTGTTTGCTAGGACCCCGTGTGAAGACTGCAGGTGACAGCTAAGAAGGGGACCACTACCCGGGTGGGACCTGGGGGGGCTGGGAGGCCGCTGCCTGCCTGACTGCCAGACTCTCCAGGGAACAGGAAACACGAGTCCAGCGGCTGTGCGAGGCCCCCGAGGCTTTGGTGATCCTTAGGGACACCTGGATCTAACGGGTGGCAGTGTGCCCCTGGGACAGAGTCCAGGTTGCGAAAGGTGAGGCAGTCAACGTCACAGACCTCACCAACCCCCACCCCTCCCCAGGTGTGTGGTCCCTGGGCAGCTGTGGCTGGGGTCCGGGCGGCAGTGCCGGGTGAAGGAGCCTGCGGGGTGGGCGTGGGGCTGGTCAGGAGTTCTAGAAGGTGGAGTCGTGGCTTTATCTGCCCTGGCATCTCTTGTATGTTTAAAAGACACATTTAACTCGGTGCCTCCAGCTCCGAGGGAGACTGGGGAGGTTTGAAAGGATCCTCCTTGTGCAAAGGGGGACCCTGGTCCCCAAACGGCGAGCGGCCTCCCAGGACCCAGCCCAGGACACGCCCCCCGTGTCCCCTTTGCCTTCCCGCGGCCCCTATCGAGGATCCTGGCCGGTCTGGCCACAGCTGCCCTGCGGCCAGGGCCTAGTTAACAATCACACCCAGGAACACGGCTCTGATTACTTCCCCGAATGACACACCAGGGAGGAGCGGCACCTGCAAAAGCACCGGGAGGAAGAAAACGCGCAGTGGGCGGTCCTGCCTCGTTAAAGGGCAGCGACCAGGGCCGGACCCCTACCCTCCCCGTAACCACCCTGCCCCTGGACCCGACTTCCAAACGTTTTCTCACAAGGAGGGAAACAGGCTCTCCGAAAACATTTACAAAGTGATCTAAGAAAAGGGGAAAACAACAACAACAAAAAATGAAAACATCCCTTTCCATCATGGCTGAACACAGATTAACCAACGTTCACCTGTGCTCTCAGGTGTGCTCACAGGTGTACTCACAGGTGTACCTGTGCCTGCAGGTGTGTGAGCTCAGGTATATTAAGGATCTGCAAAACGGAGGTGCTCCTTCCAAGTGCCAACCACTGGGTCACGGAAAAGGTGTAGAATTGACTGATACCTTCAGGTGTCCCTGGCCATGCTTCCAACAAGAAGAAACCGATTCAAAGGACGGACAAACCTGGGGGTGTATCAAGCTGCCTGAATCTTTCTTCTGTGAACTGATCCTATAAATCCTAACATTCCACTTTTGTGGAATGTTCGCTGCGTGAAAGTTTGCTTAAAAAGCAGCTTTTCATTTTGAAAGAGGCACAGAGCCCTCCTCGCAAGTCTTCCATGGAGGAAAAGAAAATACAGTCCCCCAGGCTTGCTCAGCACCTGCCAGGGACAGCCCAGCCTGGGGACAGTGCCAGGAGCAGAGGCGAGGGGGAGGCGGGGGCAGCCCCCTGGCGCCCCGCGGGTGGCTCAGAGCAGGCACAGCGGGGACAGGTAAGAGGCCGCCGCCTGTCCTGCCATCAGGCTGACGGCCCAGACCGAGGCTGCTGCAGCACCTGCCGTGCGCCTGGACACTGACGCCCGGGGTTCCCACAGCAACGCGCGCACAGGGAATCGGAAGGCCTGCGTCACAGGTCAGGAGACAGGCTGAGAGCCTGTGCCGGTATTTCGGGTGTAAACGCTGACTGAATAGGTCACTTGGGACCTAACCGGCCTCGCCCCACACCCACCCTGCTTCCTGTCCCTTTAAAAGGGTGGAATTCTAAACCCAACCTACTTCTCCGGGGAAATCAGCAACTTAACTTGAGAAAGGAATTTGCCTGAATGTTTTCTGTGCAACTCACGCACGCACGTGCACACACACACACACACACACACACACACACACACACACACACAATCATGTCTTAGAAACTACTGAGGCATTTTGTGTTTTCCTCCCTAACTCCTGAAGTGGTTCCCTGTCCCAGGCAGAATCCTGCATTTGGTGGCTGCTGGGTGGATGGGGGCCCTTCTCCGCCTGTCCTGGGCTGAAGCAGACACCGGCCGTGTGTTTCTGTCCTTGTCATTAGAGGACTCTGGTGCTGTCCCGTGACTGCTCTGCTCCTGTCCCCAAGCCCCTGGACGCCAGGAGCCCCATGAAGGAAGGCTCCCGCCTGGCCTGACCCACCACGGGACGGGCCATTTCTCTGGACACTGACGGTCACTGCTGCGTCCCATGGCAGCCCCGCATGCACGCCCTCCAGCTCACCCTCCAGACTCACAGGGCCACCCGGCTAAACCAATCCACCACGTCGAAATGTCCCCATAGTGGAGGCAGTAGGCGGTAACAGTCCCGAGTCCCCACAGACACGGAGGGTTCCTACACCCGCAGCCCTCCCAGAAGACGGAAGGACAAGCTCATCATGTGCCTCTGCACCCCACGCCGGCCCCACGCAGGCTCCCTGCCTGGCACTGGGGAGGCGTCAGGAGCCGGGCGGGCTGCCAGGGTGCAGACGGGTGACAGCTCACGTGAAGAAAGTGTTCTCCATCTTGGTTCTGCGGGTTTCAGGACAGAGGGCCCAGCTCCTAGAGCTGCACGGTAAACGGGGTGGGTTCTACGTGTGTGAACTACATCCCACTTACACACGATCGTGAAGTCAGCACAGAAGTGAGGCTCACGCTGGAAGGAGGCCGCCCTGCACGGCTCCGTCCCCCGTCCTTCCCCTCCCCAGACTCCATGACAAGTGACAGCCCTCGTCCCTTCGGGGTGGCCATCTTGGCTCCTTGTGGCATAAAGCTTGTTTGACTTTTCCACTGGAGTGAATTACGTCTTCACGCCCCTTCTACGTGTGCTGGCATAACCCGTCAGGGCTGGAATCCTGGCTTGACCACAGCTGTGTGACCTTGGGCGAGTTACTCGACCTCGCTGTGCTGTGCTTCCTTTATCTGCAGAGAAGTCACCTGGCCAGGGCTGCCCTGGGCTCAGTGTCGACTTAGGGACCCAGAGCGTGCCCTAGTGTGTGATTACTCGGAACACATAACTCAGCTCCACCGACCTTATTCTTGGGGAATTATGCTGAAGAATGATTTTTAAAAAACATCATCCCAAGCTCCCTAAGTCCTCGTGTAGCACGCCTCCGAGGGCCCAGGCCCACGTCCCACAGGCAGTGTCTTTTCCACTCACGTTTATGACTAGCGGCTGGAAGCTGCTCCTGTAGGAGGCTTGCTTTTCATTTCCTGCAGGAGGACCGCTCTGTGCCGGCTGCACAGGCCCTGCATCTGCCCCGAGTCACCTCCCACCCCAAAGTCAAGGGCCTGTGCTGGGCGTTGGAGAGCGTCACCTGTGACCTGGGAGACTGACATTACGGGCTGCATGAAATGCGCCTGTTCTTTTTTTTTTTAAGGAAAAGCACAAGATGGTGATGAGCACCAGGTCCCCGAGGGCGTGCGCCTCTGGATAAGATCAAGTCCCCAGGCGGGCGGGTCCCAGAAGTGCCTCCTGCAGCAGTCAGCTTCTCCCGCTCGCCAGCTCCCCTGACAGCACATGCCTGCCGAGCCTCCAAACTCAGAGCTGCCCCCTGAACTGCGAGGCGCCCGAAGCAGGTGCCACC